CTCAAACTCTCAAAAGGAAATATTCCAGTAATAGGCAACTTCAATCTGAGACATCTGTTGCCTAATCTAACAATGAGAAAGCCGAAATTTTTGCCCATCATTTAAAATGGCTGTTTTCTGCAAATGAATGCTAAAGCCGCCCGCAATTCATTAATGAGGTTGATTATACTTCCTTAGTAAATTCTGAGTTAATCTGGCAACAGGAAACTAACTTATCAGGCTCTCTACACCAAGGGGAATTGTTAATGTAATTAGGAAGCCCAATTTTAAAAAAGCTCCTGGGATTGATGGAATTACGAGCTTAATGATAAGGAAACTCCCTCTTAATATCATCTGCAATTTTACGATTATCCTGAATGATAGTCTAAACAATTGCTACTTCCTGACGCCTAAAAAAAGGTAAAAATGCTTCTTTTATGTAAAAGCTAAAGGCAGGTCCAGGCTGGAAGGCTTTCGTTCCATTAGCTTGCTTTATGGATGAGGAAAAATCTGTAAAAAATCATCTTCAGCAAGATATAGCATATTTTCACTTACTGCGCGATGAAAACAGTACGGATTTTGATGCAAACCCTCCACTACTAAAAGTTCGTAAGAATTACGGCGTTCGTCAGAGCGTCAAACAAAATTCAGACCTCCGCCCGTAGATGTGGCGAAAGTTTTCAGCCGCATCTGGCATGACGGGCTAATTTATCAGTTTGAATTGATCACTATATTCCTTTTTTAAAAATACCACGTGTTAGATATTAATTACTTTGCTTGCCGATAGATGGCAGTGCCTCTAACCTGACTAGCTAGGCAAGTGCACGATATTTGTGCTGCGTCACACTCTCGTCACTTGCCGCCAACCATGTAGCATCAATGTTCCTCTTATGTATAAAGTAATCTAATTTAATCTTATAAAAAAACAGTAATTTATCTATGTTTGACGAGTCAACATATATAAAATGGTCAGAGTAAACCATGCTCACGAATTTAATGCATAAATAATATTTGATTAATATATAATAAATTGATATTTTAAGGATAACGTGCATTTGAAAAATTTGGAATAAAAAATGGCGCATAACCTGCCCACGTTGTCACCGTTTGACGCTGGATCGAACCCTTCTGAAGCTTGGAGACACTGGACGGAAGACTTCGAGGCATTAAGATATAGCCAAGAGTCGGAAAACACAAAAACTGCGCTTTTTCGACATGTTTGTGGTGACGAATTAAAACAGCAATGTCGATCGTTTCATTTGAAGCCAGAAGCGGGCAGCAGTGAAATGTCCTTGAAGCAAGTGCTACAAGAATTCGACAAATATTTTGCAGATTATCAGAATGAGATTTATGCATCATTCAAGTTTCTCGAAATAAAGCAAGAGAAAGGAGAGAAATTCATGGACTTTTACTCAAGGCTACGATGTGCAATAGTAGATTGCAACTATGGGCAAGAATAGATAGAATGCTCCGTGATAAAATAGTGCAAGGCATCTCAGATAAAGCGTTACAAAAACGGCTAATACGAGAGACAAATAGAGCGAAAAAGACGCTGCAGAATATCATCAGTGAATGCAAGGCAGCGGAACATAGCAAAGCACAAGCCACTGAAATGAACGAGAACAAAATCTCCGTAGACGCTCTCAGAAAAAACAAACATCGATCAAATCCCGCGCAGATAACGCAAGTAAAAGAGTGCAAGCGATGTGGAAGAAAACATGAGCTAAAGAAGTGCGCTGCGTTCGGAACGGTCTGCCGAAAGTGCGGTGGGAAAAATCACTGGGCGAAAATGCGTCGCGCCAAACCAAAACAGAGAGCGCACGCCGTTGAACGTACGGAAGATACAGTGGATGGACAAAAATATGGAAACACCTTGTGAAATGCATGTTTGAAAAGAAAGATTGATTTTAATGAAATATGTAGGTGTCGCTGGCGTTTTTGACTACTGACGCCACCTATACAACTTCGTAAATGTGCTAAACAGTTCAATTGTTGTCGGAGTACTGTTATGTGAGGTTGTCGTTGCATTATGTCAGAGTTAACAGACTTCGAACGTGGGCAAATTGTTGGAGCACGTATGGTAGATGCTTCCGTAAGCAAGGTACCCGAGGTGTTTAGTGTTTCAAGAGGTACTGTATCGAAGATTTATTCCGCATATTTGAAAAGCGGAAAAACAAATCATCTGCTAAATACAGCGCGGGACGAAAGTGTGTCCTGAGTGATCGTGACAGACGATCATTAAGGGCAATTGTGACGAAAAATAAGAAGACCACAGCTGCAAAAGTTACTGCTGAAATGAATGTTGTGTTACCGAACACTGTGAGTACCAAAATAATTAGAAGGGAGCTTCATAAACAGGGAATTGCTGGCCGTGCTGCAATTGAGAAGCCACTCAGTGATGCTAATGCCCGTAACAGGAAAAGGTGGTGTTTATCATAAAGCCTGGACTATAGAGCAGTGGAAGCGAGTAATATGGTCTGACGAGTCTTCTTTCACATTGTTTCCCACTTCTGGCCGAGTTTACGTCTGGAGAACGCCATCTCAAGCCTATAATACAGACTGCTTGTTGCCAAGAGTGAAACATGCGGGGGTTCTGTTATGGTTTGGGCAGCCATATCGTGGTTCTCTGCTAGCCCCATGATAACTGTGTCACGGCACATGACTTCCAAGACTTATGTGAACATTTTGGCCGATCGAGTTCATCTCATGGTACAAACTTTGTTCCCCGAGGGTGATGGTGTCTTCCAAGACGACAAAGCCCCTGTTCACACAGCTCACATTGTCCAGGACTGGTTTTCTGAGCACGAGGATGAGTTGTCCTATCTCCCCGGGCCACCACAGTCACCAGACATGAATATTATCGAACCTTTGTGGTCTACATTGGAACGAAAAGTGCGTTCTCGTTATCCACCGCCAACATCGTTATCTGAACTTGCCACCGTTTTGCAGGAAGAATGGTATAATATTCCCTTGGCAAACATACAGGAACTGTATTTATCCATTCCGAGAACACTGCAAGCTGTTTTGGATGCCAACGGGTTTCCTACACCATATTAAGCAAAGAAACATGTTTTTTTAAAGGTGTTTCCATATTTTTGTCCAACCCCTGTAGCAACTCGGAGTTTACTTACCTAGGGGAAGTAACTCTTGACGCGGTGGATTCAAATAAAGCATCAGTCTGGTACCAAAAGATCACTGTAAATAAGAACGAAGTGAACTTCAAATTAGATACTGGAGCTCAAGTTAACATTATCCCAAGAGTGAATTGTTAAAGTGGAATGAGATACCAATAATTAAGAAAAATAAACAACCAGTACTGGATTATAGTGACAACCAAGTACCAATATTAGGTGAGTGCTATCTTACATGTAAAACTAAAAAATTGACAAAAACTCTCAAATTTCTAGTAACCACTCTGGAATCATCTCCTATTTTGGGTCTTCAGGCTTGCCAAGACTTGGGTCTGATTGAAAGAGTGTATCAAGTCAAGCAGGAAAAGAAACAAAACGAAGAGACACCAGAGCAAGTGATACAGGAATTTGCAGATATGTTAATTGGTGTGGGAAAACTAAATCGCACAGTAAAGATAAAAATAAAAGAAAATGTCGCACCTCATGTTGCAGCCAATTTTTTCATGCAAAGCAAGTGCCACTTGCTTTGCATGAAAAAGTAAAGCAGGAGCTAAACAGAATGGTTGAAACTGGCATCATGCAAAAGTCGGTGAGCCCACAGAAAGGGGTGAGAAACATAGTTGTGATAAATACGCCAAAGAAATTGAGAATTTGTTTAGATCCACGGCAGCTTAATGAGGCTATTCAAAGACCTCATTATTCAATCCCTACATCAGAAGCCCTTATGACAAAACTTCAAGGATGTAAAATATTTACCATTTTGGATGCCAAGAATGGATTTTTGGCAACTACCGCTTGATGAGGAGTCATCATACTTGACAACATTTACAACGCCCTAGAGAAGATTCAGATTTTCGGTTCTTCCTTTCGGTCTGAACAATGCACCTGAGGAATTTCAACGGGCCATGAAGGAGATTTTTAGCAATGAGAACGAGATAAATCCATATTTTGATGATTTAGTCTTAGGATCGTCGTCTGTCGAAGAACATTGCAAGTTGTTGCGGAAGACACTTACGATAGCCAGAAGTGCTAATCTAAAATTTAACATCGAGAAGACACAGCTATCTCGGACCTATGTGACTTATTTAGTACGTGTACTGTCTGATAAAGGCATTGCACCTGATCCAAAGAAGTTCCAAGCGATTGAAAAGTTTGCAGAACCAAAAGGCCGAGAAGACTTGCAGCAATTTCTAGGAATGGTGACATACTTAGCAAAATTCACACCTCAGTTGTCAAGTCTAACTCATTCGTTAAGGCAACTTTTGAGAAAATATAGCGAATGGTTATGGGATGAAAACATCCAAAGAGACTATGAGCACCTAAAACACATGATTGTGCAAGCCCCATGTTTGCAGTATTTTGATGAAAGCAAACATTTAACTGTGTCATTAGACGCCAGTAATATAAATGGACCTTGGACAAATTCAACTGTGGATTATTGGACCTACAAATAATCGGTTCTCCTACAAAATAATCAACCTGTGGATTTTGGATCAGCATCATTGACAGAAACTCAGCAAAGGTATGCGCAGATTGAAAAAGAACTCTTAGCAGTTGTATATGGGTTAGAACATATCAACTACTATACGTACGGAAGACATGTAACAGTGCAGACTGATCACAAACCATTACTAGGTCTTAGTAAGAAACCTTATGATACAATCTCACCTCGTCTTCAGCGCATGCTCCTCAAACTGAACAGGTACGATTTGAAATTGGAATATGTCCCAGGAAAAGAATTGCTAATAGCTGATGCCCTGTCCAGAGCACAGTCAAGTGTTGACACCTTCAGTCAAGAAACTACTGTTAATGTAAGTCTATTAACACAATCCTCTCCAACAAATTGGCAGGAAATCGTAAAAATGACAGAAAAGGACCCTGAATTGCAAGATGTGTTATTTCATATCAAAAAATGGATGGCCAGAAAGAAGCAATACAAGGCCAGCAGCACAACCTTACTGGCATTGCAAAGAAGAGCTTTATACAACAAAGGATGGAATAATTTGTCGAGAACAACGACTAGTTGTGCCAGCATCTCTTAGAAAAGATATTATGAAAAAACTGCATGTGTCTCACAGAGGTATAGTTTCTAGTAAAGTTAAAGATAGAGAATATTTTTACTGGACGAACATCAACAAAGATGTGGAAGAATATGTTTCTAAATGTGCGATATGTCAGAAATATCAACAGGCTAATCAGAAAGAAGTTCTTTTAGACTGTGATCTACCACAGAGACCCTGGCAAAAAGTTGCCTGTGATTTCTTTTACCTGAAAGGACAACAATATCTGTTAATGATAGACTATTTTTCAAAATATGTAGAGCTGAAACCACTGAAAAGTATAACTGCTGAAGCTCTAATGACCGTTATGAAGTCCATTTTTGCAATACATGGAATACCAGAGAAGCTCATCACTGATGGAGGACCACCATACAACTCGGAAGCATTGCGGAAATTTCTTGAAGAATGGGGTGTTATGCATGACATCACATCACCACATTTCCCTAGAGCAAATGGGCAGATTGAAAGATCTGTCCAAACTCTCAAGAAGTCTCTGAGCAAAGCTGCGGAAGAAGGAAAAGACTTGTATATTGTTTTACTAGATTATAGAATTCAACCTGCAAAAGATTTGCCATCCCCGTCTGAATTATTAATGGGAAGAAGACTGAGATCTTTTCTGCCATCACATCCTAAAGCATTGCAACCAAAATTTCAAATAAAAGGTGCAATAGAGGATTAAAAAAAAAGGCAGATGGTGCAAAAGAAATATGCAAATAAACACGCAACCCAGCTTCCAAAACTTCATGAAAATGATAAAGTGTAGTTTCAATGGAAAATTAAAGAGCCTTAGAAACAGGGTATGATCATGAAGACAGGTCCTCAACCAATACTATAAAACAGGGTATGATTATGAAGACAGGTCCTCAACCAATACTATACTTATGTCATAAAAGCAAATGATGAAACTGTGTATAGGAGAAACCGACAGCACATTCGTAAAGACAAGTCTACATGTGAAATGACAGAGTGGAACAGAACAGCAGAAGATTTGTTTGGACTTGATCAATCAACACTGGATCAACCTGTTTTTGTAGATAATGATAGGCAGGATCCACCTAAGGAACAGAAAAGTGATTCTACTAAACATTCTCAAATTCCAGGAAATGTGTCAACTGAACCAATGTTAAGACGATCAAGTAGAAATAGAATAAAACCTCTTCGATATAGAGACAATTAGGAAGAACTTATTGATGCTAAAAACTTATACTTTATTTATAGACTAATTATGGAATTTAATGAACTGTTCAGAACTCTAAAATATCAGTTTAATTAGTAAGTCACAATTTTAAAGATTTAAGTGAGTCATCCAGGTATGTAATTTTGCTATGTTCTCTAAAGTCAACTGTTAAGTAATAATTTAATGTCAAAATGTTTTCTTAAGTTAACTGCTAAGTAAGTAATGATGTAAAATAATTATTGTACTAAGTTAGTAACATGCACTAGTCTTGTTCTATAAATAAAAAGGGCATGTTAGATATTAATTACTTTGCTTGCCGATAGATGGCAGTGCCTCTAACCTGACTAGCTAGGCAAGTGCACGGTATTTGTGCTGCGTCACACTCCCGTCATTTGCCGGCAACTATGTAGCATCAATGTCTCTCTTATGTATAAAGTAATGTAATTTAATCTTATAGATAAACAGTAATTTATCTATGTTTGACGAGTCAACATGTATAACAGCACGTTTACTATTACTAAGTGATGAATTTTCTAGAATTACGGCGTTCGTCAGGGCTGTGCACCTTAATAAACAAAATTCAGACCTCCGCCCGTAGATGTGGCGAAAGTTTTCAGCCGCATCTGGCATGACGGGCTAATTTATCAGTTTAAATTGATCACTATATTCCTTTTTTAAAAATAGCACGTTTACTATTACAAAGTATTGAATTTTCCAGAATTAGATCTGTTTGCGCGAGAGTCCCCCAGGTATTAACTCTTTAATCTATTCCCCATTTGTTTTTATATCGTGAATTTTCCCAAGTCTGATAACGATATACATTCTTTCCTCACCTGCTATTCAAATGATGCTGCAGTAGCGGTGAAATGAACAAACCACGGGCATGCCGCTGCAAAGCTACAAAATAAAGATTCTGACATCAAACAGTGATGTCGAACAAGGCGTATTCATATCAGCGCTTCTAAGATTCAGTTTCTATTGATTGGTAGAAAGGACAAATATCATTTGCCTATCAACAAGCAATACTGAATGTATACTGTTTAATAAAGGCTTACCTTTGTTCAAAGCAAACTCCAAGATAAACATCAACAGTCAATGACCTGAAATGATTATAGCAAACACTTTAAAGCAAGACCAATAAAGTTAAAATGCAACTTCTTCGATTATTAAGGAAATATTTGAACTTTGCTCTGAGATGCAAGAGACGATTTATACCTCAGTCATTCTTCCAACTGTGAATTACGTCTCACTTGCCCGAAACTCTGGTACACCTGAAGAGAGCACTGAAGCTCATTATTTTGTCAGCAACATTTTGTTGTATACAGACTGAAATTCAAATACTAATTCAAGATGGATTGCAGTGGAAAATTTTCGGAAAGCGAACTGATCTTGTAAATTATTAAGAATTTCTGCAATATTAACCATTCGACAATGACAGGTTTCTTTTATGTCTTTATGCAGTCCACTCCCTAGGAAATCATAGCTTCTTGGTTACATCGCTCTCCTTTTAAAAACCTTACATCTAGTGTACATAGCTTTACATATTTACTTTGCTTTCTTTTTTAATTTCGCATGTTTTCGTAATGTTACGTTTGTTCCATTTCAATCGTTTGCTACCATTTGGATATCGTTCCATTTAGTCATGTGCTCCGCCAGCAACTTCGCCCTGGATTCTTTGTTACTTCATCTGCTCTCAGTGACATTACTTCACACAGTTGCATATACTGCGTCCTTCGAAGCGATATTTTAAGCCTAATTTATCAAAGTTTGATGGTGACCTTCTGACAAGACGACGCTGGGTAATGGCGAAACACGAAAGCGAAGAACTACTCAATACCGTCTTCAGATAGAAGGTCTCCCAGTCAGCCTTTCTTTCGGTTGTGACATCTCACAAATTGTAGAAGAAATTCTACATAGCTACTGGGGGTGGCTTTGCAAATGCGGTCAAGAGCAGGAGACTGACGTTAATTACGGAAGGGGAAAGTACACGGTTGTGTCAGGGATCATAAGGGGATATATATTTTTTTTTAAAAAGTGTTTTTTGGCTAGTTTATACATTCAAAGGAAAATACAAGTTACTCACTGAACTTCGCACATTAGTCTGAATAACCTTTAAACCCGATGAACAGTACATTTGTGTGACAAGGCGAGCTTTCTGACTGTACAATCTGTTTTACATTTAGCGAGCTTGTGCCGAATAAGTTTTATTCGCTATTTTATGTAATTTCTGCAATATTTTGTATTCTTTTATTTTTTCATTTAAATTTTATTTTTTTAAAGATAATTTCATTTTATTCACAAATATTTATATTTGCTATTTTTCTAATAAGTGAAACATTTAATTAGATTCTGATATTTCGTTTTCATAAGATAAAGTACGAAACCTTTGTCAAAATTTTCATAGCCCACTGTAGTTCAGTGACCGTATTTTAATGTGCCATTTTATTCGCGAGTCCATTCATCCGATTTGAAACTTGGAAATGAATTAACAAATCGATCTTTCCATTCAATTGAACCTATCGACTTGAATGCAGTGAGCCTGAGTAAACGGGAAGTATCTTTCGTAAATATAAAAACCATTATAAGCGCATTTCTAAATAATAATTTTAAAATATAATTTTCACAGCTGTTTGACGCTGCTTTCATTTCTTAAATAAATACAAATATATGTACTGAAAATTACGAAGAGAATAACACATACGTATCTGTTATTACGAGAATAAGTATTGCTAATGTATGCAATAGGGCTTGAAAACTCATTTTGATTCACCTTTCTTTTCTTTATGAATGACGAATTATCTGTTTGCCATACACGTGATCAAATAGGGAATAAGTGTTTAATCCGTAAGATTATAAGTATTGATTAACATTTCATATAGCTACTTCTAATTGAGGCTTTCTAAGAGCAACCCCCTTAATTTTGACTCTCAGCTTTTAATTTTAGACTAAGATATGAGCATAGAATCTACCTTTAAACAATGGGATTTTTTTTTAAACACTGTGGCATGACAGTGCCTAGTAATAATAGTTTTAGCGTCACTAAGAATCATTTTCTGGATTCTCATATTGATTTTTTTCCAAAAGATATTAAAAGCTTGCAATTGACGAGTATGAGCAATGCATAATACATACATGTATAGCGTAACGTATACCATAAAGGATAAATGAAAAATGAACCCCAACAAAGGCTGATCGAACTCAGCTTAGAACCCTAAACTCTAAAGAGGGGTTTATCAGAGGGAAAATGGCAATTAAATTATACTGGCAAATCAATTAAAATACCATTTAATTGATTTTAATTATTTATTTACTATGTATCGATTTTATACTACAAATTGTAATGGATTGGAATATTTGAATATGAATTAGCTGAATATTTAAGAAAAATATTATGACTGCGAGAATAGGAAAAAAAAAAAAAAAAAACATTTTTTGAATATTTACTTTCTTATAGAATGCAGATGAATTCATTTTTACTCAATGAAAAATCAAAATTTAGTAGCTAATTAATCTGTCTTGTATCGAGCAACTTTAGCTTCAGTGATCCGTATTAATGTGCGCTTTTTTTAAAAAAAATTAAATGCTTCAAGAATAGTTAGAAAAGGGCATAACTCTCTTCTTACCCTTAAATTCTTCAATAAAAAAAACTGCATTTTCAGCTATAACCAAGTGAAATAATTTTCTAAATATAATTCAAAGCATGAAAAATAAGGTACATAAACAGCTTGGAAATGGAACTAGCATTGAGATTCTCTTTAAGAAAATATGGTGAAGCTTAACAAAAAAGTCTACGAAGTGAAGTAATTCCGTAGAATATTTTCTAACTCTTTATGATTAAATTGCCACTCAATTATACTTTATAAACGACATGTAAATACTGATTTAATGTATATGTTGTGGATGTGTGTGTGTGGCTCACTTAGCGGCTGAGCTGTAAAATCGTTGATCTGCTGGCAGGTCGATCCGGGGTTCGAATCCCGGATCGACGGGGATGGCTGTAATGGCGTTTTCGAGGTTTTCCCCACGTGTAACGTGCATAAGAGTCAGTTTTTGCTTAGAAAGTTCTCCACGAGGCACCCTTACCCTTAGGCAAATAACCGTCGAATGCTTTGCTATAATCAAACAAGACCAAACAATAGATATATAAATAAGTACCTTAAAAAACTGCTATATTTTATGTATATTTATCAAGTAGTATTTAAATATACATAATGATTAAAAGAAAGGAAAAGTCGAATTCTAACTGATTGTGTATAATGTAATCCCTATGATGGCCCTAACAATTCTTTCTCACTTAAAGTCGTAATCCAAAAAGAGAACAAGTAAAATTAAACTTCAGATACGTATACAATACTGAATCTAATATAAAAAAATACAAAATATAAAAATAAATTATATATGTACAAAACCTAACTAACTATTTATATTGATATTACGTAAATATAGGTATGGTAATGAACATTGTATAATAAAGATATTTTATACCTTGTTCTATATTTGGT